ATTTCTCTCGCTTCACATACGAGAGGTCCCGGGATCGAATCCCGGTCGATCCTTTCTTTCTTTCTTTCTATTTTTTAAATTACTTTTCTTTTTTCTTTTTACTAAATGATAGTATTCAGCGTGTGAAATGAAAAATTTATGAGGTTATAAAATCATCATTACAGTGTGATAAATATTCCATATAAAAAGAATCTTCTACACACATATCTAAATAAAGAATAAGCAATCAAATCTCAGTATACATGTATACATTTAATAATTCTACAAATTCAGTCAGGGGGATCCGACTTTTTCCCTAAGCGGGGGACACGAATTCTATTGTGGTGACTTCTATTGACTCAAATTTTCACTTTTCATACCCATTTCACATATATTCGCGTTTACCAGGGGGTTCAGCGTTTTCCAGGGGGGGTCCATGGTACCTTTTTCCTTGTTTTAGTATATACATTTTTTTACCTGGTAAATTCCAGGGGGGGTCCGGACGCCCCCGACCCCCCCTCTAGATCCGCGCATGGCACAGATTTACTTCAATCTGTTACATCTATAATAAAATTAACAAGTTAAAACATAAATCGGTTTAATCATGTATAAGTATGAGATGATATACATCATTTTGTGAGATACTGAGTAAATTTATTCGGATTTTTTTAATTTCCGAACGAAAATGTGGTACTTTTTTTTCTTGGAATCATATAAAAATTGTTTTCGTATTTTAATGCCAAGAAATTCCAAAGCAGTGGAGTCAATAAAAATGTAATTGATTTCAGGGGGTGGATCCTAGGTTTTCAGCTTTCATAGTTAAAGAAAAATAAACTTGATACATTCCACCATTTATTTCAATCATTGATATTTGAAAGGCAGCTTATTTTTAATGAAGAATTAGTTTTGATATGGAAATACGTAAAAATTTGAAAGGCAGCTTATTTTTAACGAAGAATTAGTATACTATAATTAATCTAACTTTCTTTTTCTTTTATTTTACTTTTTTAACAGCATTTGATTTAGAGCCCCCCCCCCCCCAAAAGGGTGTGTGTGCAAAGGATTCTAAATAATACTTAAGTATTCTACCTATGTTTTATACCCAGTAAAACTTAAGATCCCTCCCTCAAACTGTTGACATTAATTGCCCCGCGCACATCTTCCCCTGGGAAGAATCACAGAATTAACGTTAATTCGGCTTTTATTGAGTTCGCTCTCCGGATAGAATGCATAAGTTTTCTTGTCATGACTATTGTACTGGTAAAACGATCCATAAATTTTAATGACAATGGTGTAGACCAGTTGTTATATTATGGCATGTCATTTTAAAATGGTTTGAAAATGAACTGAACTTGAGTAAATGAAAAAAAATATATAGATTAAAAAATAATTTCTGTTGACATTATGTAGTCTGAACTTCTTTGTTGGAAATAACATTTCATTTGGTAATTTTATTTAACATGCTACATGTACAAATCCCCCTCTTCCACAGAAAAAAATGATATAAAATAAAACGTGGTATTAATGAGAAAAGAAAGATGTTGCAAATAAATTGTGTTCAGTATATTCATCTCCACCATGATTTAAAAGAAATTGAGCTGCCATGGCAATATTGTTTACAATGGTCTTTTAAAGATAGATTACCGAACGAAAGAAATTTTGTAACGTATATATAATTATTGATTTATTTACGCTTTATGAATTTAAGCAAACCACGTCAGACGAGCTTTTTAGGAAAGCTAATACTTGTGCAGCAATATACCTTCATCACCTGCATACGGAGGTAATTATATACCTCAGTTAATTCGATGCTCAAGAGCATTCTATGCGTATAAACAATTTCTAAAACAAGGTAAACTATTGACAAACAGGTTGGTGAAACAAGAATATCAGCAGTCTCATCAAAAGTCATCATTTCATAAGTTCTATGGTCAATAAAATGACCTTTTCAGCAAATACAATTTATCATTGAGTTAAATGCTGACCGACGTTTTCCATACAAATTGTTAGTCAATCATTTATTCACTGAATTGCGACAGATTTTTCCGTAATTTCTAGACAATGACAATAAGCACACGGCGGGGGTGACCGCTCGGTAGAGGAAGCTCACACCTCCATGGCATCTGATACCACCTCTGATGTTGTGGAGGTTCGTGTTTGCGTTGTACCTATTTTGTATTATTTACCAAAATTAGTACAGCAGATTCTGGCAATTTAGAAATAGTTTTTGATTCTTTATTGGCAAAACGAAATTGTCACTAATAGTGGTTTTTAGCTCTACTGGTCAGAGACCGGAAGAGCTTATGCGATAGTGATGCGCCCGTCGTCCGTCCGTCTGTCTGTCTGTAAACAATTTTTTTCAAAATGCTACTCCTCCTACAGTTTTGGTACTGATTTTATTTTAACTTGGCACACAAGTAGACAACACTAAAATACATAATTTTGTGTATCGGTTTTTGAATTCAATGAACGATGTTGCCGTAGTTACTAAAAATAGAAATTTCTGTGAAAATCATTCAAAATGCTATTCCTCCTACAGTTTTGGTCTGATTTCAATATAACCTGGCACCCAAGTAAACTACTCTAAGATACATAATTTTATTTATTGGTTTTTGATTTCAATGAATGGTGTTGCAGTGGTTACTATAAATAGAAATTTCTGTGAAAATACATTCAAAATACTACTCCTCCTACAGTTTACGTCTGATTTTAATATAACTTGGCACACAGGTAGACTACACTACGATACATAATTTTGTGTATCGGTTTTTGATTTTTATCTCTACTGGTCAGAGACCAGAAGAGCTTATGCGATAGTAATGCGTCCGGCGTCCGTCCGTCTGTCTGTCTGTAAACAATTTTTCAAAATGCTACTCCTCCTACAGTTTTGATCTGATTTCAATATAACTCGGCATATAAGTAGATTACACTAAGATACATAATTCTGTGTATCGGTTTTTGATTTCGACGTACGGTGTTGGCGTTGTTACTAAAAATAGACATTTCTGTGAAATTCTTTCAAAATGCTACTCCTCCTACAGTTTTGGTATGATTTCAATATAACTTGGCAAACAAATAGACTACACTAAGTTACATAATTCTGTGTATCGGTTTTTGATTTCGACAAACGATGTTGGCGTTGTTACTAAAAATAGAAATTTCTGTGAAATTCTTTCCAAATGCTACTCCTCCTACAGTTTTGGTCTGACTTCAATATAACTTGGCACACAAGTAGACTACACTAAGATACATAATTCTGTGTATCGATTTTTGATTTCAACGAACGGTGTTGGCGTTGTTACCAAAAATAGAAATTTCTGTGAAATTCTTTCAAAATGCTACTCCTCCTACAGTTTTGGTATGATTTCAATATAACTTGGCACTCAAGTAGACTACACTAAGGTACATAATTCTTTATATCCGTTTTTGACTTCAATGAACATTATTACCTTGGTTAATAAAGATAGCAATTTCTGTTACTCTCAAATTTGCTACTTCAAATACAGTTTTAGTCTGATTATAATATAATGTGGCTTGCAAGTAGACTACACTAAGAACATAAAGAGACTTATTCAAGGATCATTATTCTCTTTTTTGCCTGTGCAAATTTTCAATTCCCAACTGCTTAAGTACTTTCCTCTTCTTTTGCTATAAGTACAAACCAGTAGAGCTTCAGTCTCGACAGAGACTTCTGGTTAATGAACGGTGTTGCCTTGGTTACTAAAAATAGAAATTTCTGTGAAATACTTTCAAAATGCTACTCCAAATACAGTTTGAGTCTGATTATAATGTAATTTGGCATGCAAGCAGACTGCATTGAGATACATACAGTCCCTGAAACGTTCTACTTTCCAGCGAACGGTGAGTGAACGATGTGCGAACGGTGAACGCAACTTGGTGAACGATGTGTGAACGGAGAACGGTGAGGGAACACAGAACGCGAACGGAGCGCAAAGTGAGCGGAGAACGAACAGTGAATGCAAGAGGAACGATTTATTCGGAATGCCTCCGGTCTTTTCCTTGCATTGAAATTATTCTATTATTCTACTTATTTCAGGTGCAAAAATATAAATAAACAATAAATAAATAAATAATAAAAACTTTTTTGGTACATTGTACATGTATGATGTTTTAAATCGATAATTTAATAACACGAATTTCATTGCCGTAAAACATGTGTATTTGTTACCGAACGCGTGTAGTATAAATACATGTATAAAATTAATCTACTTATATACTAAAGTTATTCTTTTAACTAATAAAATAATAATGTGGACTTAAGAAGATAAAACTACTACTTGTAGAATAAATTAATTACATTGTACCACGGTTGTTACAACCATATATTTCCATGTCAAGGCGATTCCGAGTAGAACAACGGATTTTTATTTAACTTTTGTTGTATCTTGGCAAACATTAAGCTAGGATGTCAAAATTTTTATTTTCCTTTGTCGACTATTCTATTGCATTATGCGAACGATAGTCGAACATTCGGAACATTTTTATGCGCCCGGATCGATAGATCCGAGGCGTATATTGTTTGTCCTGTCTGTTTGTCTGTTTATCTGTTTGTCTGTTGTCAACTTTAACCTTCGCCATGCGTTTTGAACCATAGGAGATAGACACTTCATGTTTCGTATGCATACTCCACTAAGTTCTTTCGAATGACACCAAGGTCAATGACCTTGTGACCTTGACTATGACCTGTTTGCTAAAAATATCTTTTTTGAATTTTCGCCATATCTTTTGAACCATGAGAGATAGAGACTACATATTTGATATGCTTACTCCACCAATGACGTTCTTTCAAATGACACCAAGTTTAATGACCTTGTGACCTTGACTGTGACCTATGAGAGATAGAGACTTCATATTTGGTGTGCATACTCCACTAATGAAGTTCTTCAAATGACACCAAGGTCAATGACCTTGTGACCTTGACTTTCACTTATCTGCTGAAAAGTTTTTTTTTAACTTTGTTGCCGCCGGGCGCATAGTGTTTCACAAACACATCTTGTTTTTCATAGTAAAATCTTTATTTCCGTTTTACTTTCGTTTGGCCGTCGAATCCTCTTTGTTGGTGGCTCTACAGATTTAGCGGTGTCACGAAGGGGAAGGTCATCCAAGAGAGACTCTATTTCGGTTTTCGTAATATTTCTCTGATCTTTAGATAAGAATTTCAAGTTTTTGTATCGAGGGTCTAGGAAAGAAGTAACTATCGTGATCGATTTGGCAGTCTCCTTGCATGTAGGCTTGTAGCGACGCATTAGCTCATCTTTAACAGTTTCGCGAACTCTGTGTATGTTGTTACTTTCCGTGTCCCCAGAAATATCATCAATCCGCCGGAGGAGCCCACAAACAATAGGATAGATTTGAGAAATGGATACATGCGTTTCTGTACTCATGTAAGTTGTGACTTCTGCAAAGTCCTTCAAGAAAATAGATAATTGGTCGATAAGGTCCCATTCGTGGTCCTTTAAAAGAGGTAGAGAAAACTCCTTCTTAGTGACTTTATCGTCAAGCATGATATCGGTAAGGACTCGTCTTTGCTCAGTCAAACGCTGCATCATCTGTTGAACGGAATTCCATCTTGTTGGTACGTCCTGAATCAAATCTTGAACGGGAATCCCCAAAAGTTTCTGTCGTTTGGATAGTTCTGCAGCAAGAGTCGTTGAATGCTTAAAATGGCCCACAAGCTTCCTGCACTTTCCGATGATTTTTGCTATATTTGGGAGATCGAGTGCGGGTTTGATCACTAATTGTAAAGTGTTACCAAAGCATGACAGGTCTTCCCACTCTGGACTCAGTTCTCCAGCCCGTTCAATATTTCTAGCGTTATCGTGTACGCAAATGTCTACTTTATTTAACAGATTAAATTCTTGCAAAATATCTTTTATTTTATAGGCTAAATTTATTGTAGTGTGGCTTTCGGGCACAGCTCGAGTTGAAAGTACATTGGTCTCCATTTCTCACTGACTTGTGACATGGTGTTCGGTAACTGTTATATAACTTTCAGTTGCCCTCGAAGTCAAGGTATCCGTGGTATTGGACACTGACTTAATATCTTCCAAATAAAGAATCAAAGATGTTTTCTTATCATCATACATTTTATCTATTCTTGATTTGATAGTGTTCCTCGATGGATTTTTATACGCAGGCGCAACTTCACTCATAAATCCAATAAAGCCATCCCCAGACACAATACTTAGAGGCAAATAATCCTTCACTACCATATTTGCTATAGAATTGGAAATAGAATCGGACTGAGTAGCGGACAGTTTTTTTTGGCGAACGGGTGAAAAATTCTCCAACAGTTGGCTGCGCCTCATCGTCAAATTTATTTGGATGAAGATTTGTTAGATGATAACACATATTGGAAGTAGTTCCGCAATAGCTTAATATAGCTTCGCATAACGTACATTTGACAGTTTTTTCATCCAAGTTTCGCTTAAAAAATTTCCACACGCTTGATTTGGGTGGTGGCATTTTCAAAACTGAACTGAAAATCTATGAAACCCAGATCTAATTGGGGGTTTGATTTTTCTGAAAGGTTCTTACGTAGTGAATAATACTCACAAATGAATAGCTAGTTATGACTTTGTAAAGAAAGATAACCCATGAACTTTTTCATAAATTTGTAATCAAGAGTAATCGCTGTTTTTTTTTTTTATCGTATTTTATTTATTTGATATTCGGTCTCATTGTTCGATAGTCGGTCCTTTCAACTGACAGTCGAATAGTCGACTATTCGCTGAGATCCCTAGCAAACATATATTTAGTTACAGAAGGAAGGAAAGAATTTTCCCTCTCTAATGATAGACTTTATTTACTTTAAGTAGAACAATTCAAAAACATAATATTTTAAACAATTGTTTCTTTTTAAATACCCTATTCACAAGGAGAGTTTAATTCGAATTATACGTAAAGTTACTGCGAATTAGCTTCGCTTAGCGTTCACACGGATAATTTAAGGGACTCCGACCCTCAGCCAGGAAGGACAACACTTTAATTTATAATTTAATTCAAAAAGTCTTTAAATTTAGCTTGGAAATTAAATATTTTCATGCAACAGTTTTCATTATATGCCTCTCAATGTGCTTCAAGGTTCTTTGCAAAACTCCATAAATCACTTCTAATTTCATATCATGGTAATAAACATTGGTATCTAAAAATGTTTTTTCGGGATAAACATTTCTACTTGAAATTAGACCTTTCTGAGAAGTGTGCTATTTTTGTGTGAAATTTTGTTAATCATTTAAATGTGTATACAGACACTTTGCCATTATGTCAAATGGATCTGCATCTGCATAAGGTGACGTGATTTGCAAATAACTTCATAATAGCCGTGCTCACGCAGGGCTGCAGAAGTAAGATTTTAATTCGCATTAGTTTACTTCGCATTAGCTGTCGTGTGAACGCAATTTAATTCGCATTAGTTTGATTCGCATTAGTTTACTTGGCAATAATTTACTGCAAATTTATGCCTTGTTCACACGGCGAATTTAATTCGCAGTAAATGAATGCGAAGTAAACTAATGCGAATTAAATTAATGCGAATGAAATAGCGTTCACGACGTTATTGCGAAGTAAACTAATTCGCATTAAATTTGTAAGTATTTCCAGGTAAGCAGGTGCGAGAAATTTAGCTATGGCTAAAACAAAAGAAATAATGATATTAACCAATTAGTAAAAGCAATATTAAAATTGCTATATTTTTCAAACACAAAAATTCATTTGATCTGCTCAGAACAGAAAATACGGAAAGGCCGCATCACTTGTAAATAATTGGTTCAAAGTACGCATGTGTCTTTAACTGAGAGTATACAAATTTATTTTTTGATTTGAACGATAAAAAATAATAATGTTCAGAAAGTGATGTTGGTAGCAAGATTACGAAGATAGCAAGATTGTAACAAATTTGACGTTAAGTGTATTATGACGTCATTAAAAAAATTACTTTACCTTTTGAATATTTATCAAAATGGAGAAAGCAACATTACGTAAATTTTTCCTTTTCCTTTGCTGTTTTAACCAAGTCAGTTTACAGTATCATCATAATTTGCTACATCGACAAAGAAAAGAGAGATATCTTAGACTGAAACAAAGAGGAAAATCAAGGTGGGAACGTCTCATGAAAAATCGCAGACATCGTAGACGATTGTTTTTTTTTGTTGTTGTTGGAATTATAGGTTCTTTATTGAATATGCGAAATCAATTACAATTCAATAGATCAACTTGGTAGTTTGACAGGGAAAATGATCTGTATACAACAGTGCGACATTTAACTCCGGACACGACATAGTCCGGACTTTTTACTACCATTTCTAATTGCGATATCATAAAACATTAATATTACTTGGTGGGATTTTCTAGCAGTAGCACATAATCTCATGTTCAACTCACAAGCTTATCTAGTTTGAGAAATATTAAGTCCCAAATATCAGAATCCCATGGGAGAATGGTGGGATTTTCAGTCCCACCAATTATCCCACCATTCTCCCATGGGAGAAAAAATCTCAGGTGGGATTTTTTCTCCCATCTGAGATTTTTTCTCCCATGAAATTGTAACCATGGGATAAATCCCACGAATACGCATCAGTGGGATATTTTCTCCCACATACTGCCAAGCATAGGATTTATCCCATATATTCTACTGTATGGGATATTTTCTCCCATCAGTACTTGAATGTGGGACAAATAAGCTGATATTCCTATTCATTATATTGATAAAGCATGTATGCTACAGATATCTCTGCCAGTTTTTATGAATGATACCCACAAATAACATAGGGAGGGTCAGTGATTCTTTTTGATTTTGACAAACTTCCTGAACATATAGGATGACCACTATAGTAATCCCTTTAACACATTCATTAGCCTAACAAACCACACTATAAATATGTTTATTCCAATAAGTCTTCCAGTTGCATGCTTTTGTTTTGTTTTTTACAAGTTCATACCATCCATAACTGTTGTCTATCTCTGGTATATGATAAAGAAAATAAAAGACTCTTAGTAGTAGTATATGATAAAGAAAATGGAGACTAGAGGAAGTTTCAACTATGCTTTACCACTTTTTCATTACTATATCTTTAACTTTACCTACTATATACAATTACATTTAACAAACAAACAAATAAATATGAGAAGTCACAGTGTTGAAAAAGCAGTTCGAATTTCCTCTGGTCTTGATTTCATTTATCTTTGTTCCCAGTCCAGCAAGTTTGTTTTTTTTTATTCCCCTAAACGCTGTTTCAAATTAAGAATAGTAAAATCATAATTAAGATTTTTTTTAATTACGGTCACAAGCATAACAACAATAGCATACAACTGATCATTCCTAGTAGACATGCTGCAACTGTCTTGACCACAGCCACAGGGTCTCCATTTATTTGAATTTCTAACCCGATCGAATTTTGAAAAATATTCACGGATACAAGTGATGCCTGATAAATTCAGGAGAAGGTATATTTTGTTTTGATTTGTTTTGTGTTAATATAGGCATAGTACTGCTGAATGCAAAATAATGAATAAAACATGTTTTAATCATGTAAACAGTGTATTTTCATGTGTGCTAAAGGAATCAGAAGTCTCTGTCGAGACTGTAGCTCTACTGGTTTGTACTTATCCAAAACCATTGCACTATTTTATGTATCTTTGTGTAGTCTACTTGTGTGCCAACTTATTTTGAAATCAAACTAAAACTGTAGAAGGAGTAGCGTTTTAAAGGAATTTCACAGAAAATTCTATTTTTAGTAACCATGGCAACACCGTTCATCGAAATCAAAAACCGATGCACTATTTTATGTATCTTTATGTAGTCTACTTGTGTGCTAAGTTATATTGAAATCAGACCAAAACTGTAGAAGGAGTAGCGTTTTTAAGGAATTTCACAGAAAATTATATTTTTAGTAACCACGGCAACACCGTTCATCAAAATCAAAAACCGATGCACTATTCTATGTATCTTAGTGTAGTCTACTTGTGTGCCAAGTTATATTGAAATCAGACCAAAACTGTAGAAGGAGTAGCGTTTTTAAGGAATTTCACAGAAAATTATATTTTTAGTAACCACGGCAACACCGTTCATCGAAATCAAAAACCATTGCACTATTTTTTGTATCTTTGTGTAGTCTACTTGTGTGCCAACTTATTTTGAAATCAAACTAAAACTGTAGAAGGAGTAGCGTTTTAAAGGAAGTTCACAGAAAATTCTATTTTTAGTAACAATGACAACACCGTTCATTGAAATTAAAAACCGATGCACTATTCTATGATTCTTAGTGTAGTCTGCTTGTGTGCCAAGTAATATTGAAATCAGACTAAAATTGTAGGAGGAATAGCGTTTTGAAAAATTGTTACAGACAGACGGACGGACAGACAGACAGACGGACGGACACCGGACGCATTACTATCGCATAAGCTCTTCTGGTCTCTGACCAGTAGAGCTAAAAATTACATTTCTTCTAGTGTGCAGTTATGCCATAAGAAATTGAAATATTGTGCTGAACGATACTTATAAAAATCTTAAATGCTCAACTCTGAAAAAGAATGGACTGTGTGTAAAACAATTTTGAGGCACTTTTAACTACAGGACCATATATTTTAATGTATTCTTTTATTAATATTTTTGTTGTTGTTGCAGTTTTGTGTGTTGAGCAATTATTTAATCTAGAATCAGGTTTGGCCAAATTTAAATGATTGATTGCCCTCTCCTTACTTATGATGAAAAATTTGAGTCAATAGGTACAGTCTGTACTAGAGAAACTCTTTCCTAGTCATAGACGTCGGAACTGGGTGGAGTGGGGGGACTTAGCCCCTTAACTTTTTTTTGCAAAGATAGTCATTATATAGGTATTGAACAATGGGGGTTACCTTATTTGGTTGGTTAAGCCTCCCCCCTTTCAAATTGCTTCTGGCACCTTTGCTAGAAAACTTTATGCAATCAGCAATTTTAACATCTACT